CTCCTCCTGCTCATGTATCCTCTCCTCCTGCTCACGTATCCTCTCCTTCTGTCTCCTGTTCAGGAGATTCAGCATCTGATTGTTTTCCACCTCGGCCTGGAGCTGTCTTCCCAGACTCTCCAGCTCCTTCCTTAGGTGTTTGGTCTCATCTTGTAGCTGCTCCACCTCAGAGGGCCCTGCTGGGGGATCTGAGGCCCGGGGTTCAGCTGAGAAAGGAAGCAGACCATAAGGGTCTCTGGATTCTCAAAAAAAAAAAAAAAATTCTCCCATTGGTGCAGAGCTCTTCCTCTCAGGCTTCCCAAACTTGGCCTCACTGCTAAGGATTCCTCGCACCCAGATGGTAGCCAGTCTTCCAAGCCACTTTCAATGGAGAGCACTGTGGGTGGCTGACAATGGGCACTCCTCCCTCTTTGCTGATGGGGACACCAAGGCTCAAGCAGATGACAAGGCTTGCAGTCTCCTGGCACAGACCTCTCTCCCTCTGCCTCAAAGCCCTTCCATCCACCCACCTCCCTGGGGCATTCTAAGCCACCCCCACAGCCCTCTGATGCCGGTCCTGCTCCCAGGTCACGCCAGCCCCATCTTACCCCTCTGGTGTTTGAGTTTGAACAAGCTCCTGCCAAGCTTCTGTACCCGATGTATCTCACGCTGCTGCTCCTCCTTCAATGTGCGAACCTGCCCAAAGCACAGGGCGAAAGGGCCCTGGTGATAGGGGCTGAACCTCTAGAGACAGAGTTTGAGAAAGGCCCCCCCATTCTGCCAGCTTGTGATTTAGAAAGGTGCGTTCATTCAACAAACATCTGCTGAGCACCTACAGGCCAGGTATGGTTCTTCACAGCAGAGACAGAAGACAGAAAAGAACAGACAGGAGCCCTTGGCCCTGAGGTTTCCATTCTAGGGGCCTTTAAATCTCGGACTCCCAGAGCTAACAGAGACCTTTGATACTCTCTACCTCCTCCAGAAACACGAGCCCAAGGAGGATAGATGGCTTGTCCAGACTCAAAAAGCAAATTAGGGACTGAGTCAGGATAGAAATACGGGTCCGACAAACAGTCAGGCTAGTGCTTTCCTGAGAGGCAACAACCGCAGAGAGTGTGTGGCAAGAACTCGAGTGGAGTGTCTGGAGAAGAGAGAGCAGAGAGAGCAGTGCAGAAGAGCCATGCTGCACGGTCTGTGTTCTGGGGTCCATCCAGGTGAGGCCTGCGTGCCCCAGCTCCCCATTTTCCCATGGCACCAGGGGCCCCTAGCCCCTTTACTCAGGGCCCCAAGAGGAAACGAATACAGGACTGGCAGCGTGGAATCAGAGGATGCCACTGGACTCTTCCCAGTGAATTGATGTTTTCACTGGGTTGACTGATTATTGTGGAGCTTTGAGTCCGGGGCTCCTGCTAGTTCTTGGTACTGGCTCTGAGGTGCATGCAGAGAGGAGGAGTTGGAGGAGGATTGTGGGGAGCGGTAGAGAGAACAGTCATTGGGGCTGGGGAGGGGTGTGTCTGGGCTGTCTCAGCTGGCAGAGGGGCAACCAGCCCCTGCTGTGGGAGGAGGTTGGAGGGCTGGCCTGCAGGGTCACTGAACCTCGGCCCAGGGATCTTACCTCTAGGTCTTTCAGGGTAGTAGATGACACGGGGCCCTCCCTGTAGACACCTGTTGCTGACTACAAGAGATGAGAGGGCACATGGAGATGTTCTGTCCCCCTCAGTGTCTAAGCCCTCTGACTTCCTTTCTTCCCCATCAACTGACAAACATTTCTTTTCTACCTATCTTGGACCAGTTGTCCCATAACTCCTTTGTGCCAACTTCTCTCATGGTTTTTATCACCCCATGATCCCACCCTGGGGCCCTTTCAGTGACTCCTAAAGGGACAGCCTGATGGCAAGTGACTCTTCTCATTGGTCTGGCTTCCCCTTGAGACTGGGAATGAGAAAAATCAAACTGCAGCGACCATTTCGTGGGTGTCCTGGGTGTTTACAGCAGGCCATGTACTAAGGATTCTCATAAAAACAACAATAACAAATCTCATTTAAACTTCACAAATAGATGTAAAAAAATCCCACCTCTATTATACAGATGTGAAAAGAGAGACCCGAAGACCTCAAGCAACTTGCCCTAAATCATATCCTAATTAATCCCTAATCAATCATTAGCAGATGGAGAGGCAGGATTCAAACCCAGAATTCTTAACCAGTACCCAACAGTCCATCCACAATCTTAACAATTATCTTCTACTGCCCTTGGGTCCCCTGTCCCCAGGAGCCTGGCCAGCCAAGACTTACATCCCCAGGTGAGCGGTAACCACCAGAAGCGGCGGTGTCAGGGCTACTGCCATTGATTTTCTTTTTCCTGTTAGCTCCTGCTGGAACGCCAGGGCTCTTCCTCTGCCAATATTCTTTTAACTGTGGGAAGGAAGAGCAGTGACACTCATGAGAACTATCAGCCCCTACAGCCACATCCTCCTCTACAGTTTTGACAAAATACTCTTCTACACCATCTGATTTAATGCCGCCACCAACTGTACGAGGTGTTGTCACAATCCTTTAGTGACTGAGAGGGATTGATACCATGGATAGAAAAAAATAATAATAATAATACTGGAACTTAAGCTCAGTCTTCTGACTCCAAGCTCGGGGGTTTTGCCATGAATCAGCAGCTGCCAGGGACCAAAACCAGGGGCGGAGTTAGAACAGTAAACATGAAGCAGGCAGGAACTGTATGCCGTGTGGCTTGGAGTCATACATCCTCACATGTCCGTTAGTGTGAAGAAGTGCACCAGTACCTCTCACACTTTCATGTCAATGTGTCCTCATGGCAGAAGGAAGCTTTTCTGTTAAATCTGGGAATTTTTCAGAAAGAGGACAACTCAAGCCTAATTTCAGGGAGAAGTCTGGTATATGCTTGGAAACCTATGTGACTGTCATCCCTAAGGACATGAATGTTTTATCTGAAGAGAATCAAGGGAAAATGATGCTTCAGAAAGATGTCCCACATTCATCCTGTGGCACTCAAAGTACCCCAGAGATGATATGAGGAAGTTTCAAGCTATGTGGTTCAACTTCCCAAGATCTACTCCACTGAAGATGAGCAAATCTCACTTCAGAGACCACTGACTGAAGGGCGGTCTGGTCCCAGAACCGTGGAGAACTCAGAAAAGAATGTTAAAGTCTCTCTGCAAAGTAGAAGCCTGGGAGAAAACCAAACCAAGCCCGTTCTCCCATGGCCACCCAGAGATACTGTCAACGTTTTGAGCACACAGGGGAAGTGCAGGCTTTTCCCACTGTCCATGTCTATGTGAAGGGAGTAAGGTGGCCTGAAACCTCTTGTTCCTGGGTCCCATAGTCCCCATTCCCCTTCCAACTGGAAATTTGTGCTGTGACCAGAGGATCCGGAAATGGGGTGAGAAAACTTAGGGGACTGGGTTGTAAGATCAAAGGCTGGTCTTGCAGCAGTAATGACAGTTCCTAGGGGGACTGTGACATCACTACATTCCATTCCTCCCAGTGCAGGGGATCACATCAGCGTGATGCCCAAGTCACCAATCCATGATGGGGGAGGGAAACACAGGGTTCGGACCCAGGTCCTTGGAGACACCAGCTGAAGGAGCCCAGGGAGGTCAAGCTTGGGGCAGCAGGAGGGGAGGGCAGAGTCCGCAGTAGGGAGCCCCAGGAATCACCAGCCAAAAGTCACCCAAGGATGACTGGCAACGGTGGGGCCTGGGGCTGGGGTACCCAGGTCCTGGGAGACACAAGCACAAAGAGTCCAGGAAGGTCAGGCTTGGGGCAGCAGGAGGTGAGGGCCGAGTATGGAGCGGGGCCCCAGGAGTCACCAACCCAAAGTCACCTTGGGGTAAAGATCGGCAAGGGCAGGGATTCGGCTGCTTGCTGAAGGGGTGGGGCTGACTGACAAGAATTTGGTGGGGGGAACCCAGAGTCGCTGGTGTTGGGGGTCCCATTCCGGTATGCCTGAGAAATAGTATGGGCTCTGGCAATGGTCTTGTCGTCGGAGAGGATCTGTGGCTGGGTTGGGGGCTATGACCTGGTGCATTTTACCTTTTTCTTGGCTGTGGTGAATTTTCCCTGTCGTGTTTTTTCTGACATCATGGGGTGTGGAGGGAGGCGGGGTTGGGGTCACATCAGCGAAATCCCAGTGAGCACGGCTGAATGCCTCCAGTCACCTACCAGGCCGCTGTGCAACTGAGCCAGAGGAGGCGTAACCAGGGCCCCACTAGAACTCAGAAGAGGGGCGTGGCCTTAATGCTCCAAGCCCATTGGTCAGTGAGAAAGATGAAAGGGAAAGGAAGCATGGCCAGGCGGCAGCATGTCCAGAGGGACCTGTGGCATCACAAGGAAAGCTGCCCATGCAACCGCTTTCTCCGCTCTACTCAGAAGGAGGGGAGGGGCCGCCCACTCTGGGAGAGGCAAGGGTCTGGCTTTTGCTTTAAAAGCTTTAAAACTGTAAAAACTAAACTTAAAAATGTATACATGTGTATACTTTATATATATGTGTGTCTGTGTGTGTGTATCTATGCGTTCCTCCAGAGCTGTCTTCGTTATCCAGCGTCTATGCAAAGTCTATGAGTTTGGCCTATATTTTTCATCTTCAAATGGAGTACAAGAATTACCAGTATCACCTTCACTGAGATACAGATCCTATAAAAATGGAAAATTCATAGCATGCTTGATGATTAATGAAGTAGACTGTAGTATCCAACATTCCAGTAAGACAAAATAATCACAATGATTTCTCTTTTTTGGAAGAACGTTTCTCTTATTCTCCTACATTACGAAGATTTTTTTTTTTAAATGATAAACAGGTCTAATATTTTTAAACACACAAAGCTTTTGGGCCGGGTGTGGTGGTTCATGCCTGTAATGCCATCACTTTGGGAGGCCGAGGTGGGTGGATCGCCTTGAGGTCAGGAGTTCAAGACCAACCTGGCCAACATGATGAAACCCTGTCTGTACCAAAAATACAAAAACTAGCCAGGCGTGGTGGTGGGTGCCTGTAATCCCAGCTATTCGGTCAGCTGAGGCAGGAGAATTACCTGAACCCAGGAGACGGAGGTTGCAGTGAGCCAAGCTCACGCCCCTGCACTTCAGCCTCGGCAACAGAGCAAGACTCCATCTCAAAAGAAATAAAATTAAATAAAACACAAAATAAGAACACAAAGCTTTCAATTTAATAAACACTTAAAACTCTCTACTTGTTTAAGAGAAATACAAGTCCCAGTATTCTAGATCACCTGACCTCTCTAAGCCTTGCAAATGAAACTGAATTTCTCACTTGATACTTGGCTATGATTTGCAATCATGAAAACCAAGAATTATGTCACTGCTTGTTACTTGAATTCCACACTAGGCTGGGATCAAGGGTTGAATCTTTCATGATTTTCTCCATAACCTGTGTGCTTCTTATCCCAGACCAAACTACGTTTTTTTCTAGAATTCTACAATTTACAGTTAATAGACAAGAGTGGTTTTCAAAATGTAGTCTATGGACTAACAGCACCAGCAGCACCTGAGATCTTTTCATAAGTGCAAATTCTCAGGTCCCACCCTGGACCTGGTGAATCGGAAACTCTGGAGTAGGGCTCAGAAGTCTGTGCTGCAGTAGTCCCTCCAGGTGTTCAAGAACCTCTGGCATACAGCAGGCAGAAAAATATGTTTCCTTCTGTAGGTCCAAGCCAGGGATACCATGTGTTCTGCCTTGTTATACAACAATGACATGCAATTAAAAGACATAAATCTCCTTCCTACTCCCACCCTCCATCCAACGTGTTTTATTTTTATGAGTTCAATTAGAAAACAAGTGGCAATCAGAGATTTAGTCTAAAATATATATTTACAAGTGTCAGTTCTCATCCAGCCTGATCTCATACAAAACCATTTATGTACTCTTACACCTCAAGTTTGAAAAATGTATCTTCACAATGTGAGACTCAGGCACACTAGCAGTTCTATCATAAAACAACAAGTAGATTGGAATGTCCAACCTTACTAGAGAAGAAGAGTGGAATCACTGGCTATATTTCCAAATTGCATTCAACAAGAAATTTGAGTTTTTTTCACCTTCATACTGCCAATTTAATAGAATTAAACCAGAATACACCATTCTTTCAAAGCCTCTAGCCAGGCAGTTTTACTGTATTATTTCTTGCTTTCCATGGATATAAAGCAGATTCCTGGTAGGCACATTTTGTATACCTGCAAAGATGCAGGACTAAACAGTTCCATCTGTTCAGCATTGAAACAAAAGTCCTGTAAACCTCGGATGGTGAGTGCAATACTTCAGCATTAGCCCCAAAGCCTCAAATATGAAAAGATACCAAGAACGCCACTAGCAATCAAAACTAAACTCTCAACTAGGAGTAGTAGTTCATGCCTGTAATCCCAGCACTTTGGCAAACTAAGGTGGGAGGATTACTTGAAGTCAGGAGTTCAAGATTAACCTGGGCAGCATAGCGAATTCACGTCTCCACAAAAAATTTTTAAAATTAGCTGGGCGTGGTGGCACACAGCTGTAGTCCTAGCTACTTTGCAGGCTGAGGTGGGAAAATTGCTTGAGTGCAGGAGTTCGAGGCTGCAGTAGCTATGATTATGGCACTGCACTCCAGCCTGGGTGACAGAGCGAAACTTAGATAATTACATTTTCTCCTGCTCCTGTTTACACTGAAATCACTCAGTTAAAAGGCTTTCAAATTTGGCAGGATAAAAATTAAGTGAAAAGTGACTTTGGAGCTTGGCTAGTGAAAGAAAGAAAGAAATGAAAGATAGAAGAAAAGAAGAGAGGAAGAAAGGAAGAAGGAAGGGAGGGAGGGAGAGAGGGAACAAAGAAAGAGAAAGAAAGGAAAGGATGAAAGAGAGAGGGAAAGAGAGAGAAAGACAGAGGAAAGAAAAGGAAAGAAGAAAGAAAAAGAGAAAGAAAGAGAAAAGAAAAGAAAGAAAGAGAAAAGAAAGAGAGAAAGAAAAAGAAAGAAAAAAAAGGAAGGAAGGGAGAGAAAGAGGGGAAAAGGGAGGAAAAAGCAAAGTAAAAATGGCAAGGAAGGAAGAAGGAGAAAGAAAGAATACAGAAAGAGAGAGAAGGAAAAGAAAGGAGAGGAAAGGGAAGGGAAATGAAGAAAAATGAAATGACAAATTACTTAATGGGAGAAAGTTTTTGTAACCTCAATGACAGATAAAAGGTTTGTATCCTTAGTCTATAAAGAAATCTTTAAAATTATTAAGAAAAGAAAAACAAATGAATTTCAACTAATAATGGGCAATGGAGAAACTGGCATTTCTCACAAGAATAAAAATGGCCAATGGCATATAGAAAGATTCAAAAGCACTAGAAATCAAAAAATTGTCATGAAAACAGTGAGATTTTCTGTATAAAGGCAGGAAAGATGATAAATGGAAGGGAGAACCTGGAGCTCTGTCCTTGTTAGTGGGAGTATAACCTGGGTCACTTTTCCTGGAGGATAATTTGAAAATTTCAATGAAAAACCCTAAAAATTATTTTCCTCTAGAAATTCTACTTCTGTGAATTCAGTCCAAAAATGCTTGCTCGAGTCCATTAAAATGTATATATAAGAAAATTCGGCTAGGCGCAGTGGCTCAAGCCTGTAATCCCAGCACTTTGGGAGACCAAGACGGGCGGATCACAAGGTCAGGAGATCGAGACCATCCTGGCTAACACGGTGAAACCCCGTCTCTGCTAAAAAATATAAAAAGCTAGCCGGGCGAGGTGGCGGGCGTCTGTAATCCCAGCTACTCGGGAGGCTGAGGTAGGAGAATGGCATAAACCTGGGAGGCGGAGCTTGCAGTGAGCTGAGATCCAGCCAGTGCACCCTAGCCTGGACGACAGAGTGAGACTCCGTCTCAAAAAAAAAAAAAAAAAAAGAAAATTCACCTCTGGGG